CCCCGGGCTCACAAGCTCTCCAAGTGATGGGCACTTGCATACTCGAACGGGTGACACATCTCAGACCAGGACCTGAGTCCCTGCGTCCCCACAGCACCAGGCTTCAGTTCTCACAGGTGTGTGCCCAGACCCTCCCTCACCCGGGTAGCCGGCCACCACCTCTGAGCCCATGTCTCCCATACTCCCAACCTGCCCAGCACCTTGGGCACCATCCTGAAATGACCAGAGGCTGGGGAGGCCCCAGCATCCACCCAAGGGCTGGAAGCTCCCAGGGTCAGGCTTCCTTTCTCACCCAGAGGCTCAAGCACAGGACATGGGGAGGTGGCGTGGATATGGGCTCCGGCCCAGCCCTGCCCTGCCCCAGCCAAGGTCACTGAGCTTGGCAGAGGCACCAGGTTCCCCCTGGAGAGACCAGCAGGCAGGGCTCGTGGGGCTGCAGCCCTGGGCCTGAGCGCGGCCTCCATGCCCCAAGCTGTTCTGGATTCGGAGACCCCAAGGTGGTGGCTTCAACCTACAACAATGACACCGCAGTGGGGGACCTGGGGGTATCGTGAGGAGGGAGAGAAGTGGGGGGCGGGCCCACACATTCTCCTGCCACGGATCCTCTGAAGGGAGCAGGGGTGATTCAGAGGGCAGAGTACTGTCCACAGGGCCAGCCAGGCTCCCGGGACACAGGCCATCCCTGAGTCACCTGCCCCAGCACCACCCACCCGAGCCAGGGAAGAACAAGCGGTTCCCCCTGCTCCAGGTGCCTCCCCAGGAAGCCCCCAGAAAGGATGCTGGTGGGACTCCTGCTGCAACTTGCCTGTCTCTGGCAGGTGGGTCTGACCTTAGGACCCACTGCCCTCGCCCCCTCGGCCTCACTTCTGCCCGTCCTGATGCCTCATTTAAGTCAGAACCTACAGCTAGACAGCTCCTGGCCACCCACCCCGGACACCAGGCACCACCTCCTCCACTGGACTCCTTGCTCTGCCCCCACACAGGCCTGCTGGGCACTCACCTCCCCCAGAAGCCACCTTGATGACCCTGCCCACTGGCCTTGGCTGGGGCCGCCCCACCCTGGCTCGCTCAGGGACACTGCAGTCCCGGCTCCAGGCCTCAGTCTCCCAGCTGCAGGGCATTGGAGGAGCTTCCCAGGACCCAGCGACAGGGTCTGTGTCGCCCCCCCCCCAGGCCAGGTCGCTGCCCCTCTCAGCAGCCCCAGGGTCAGGCACTACGATTTCTTAGGGCCCAGTCTGGCAGCAGGAGGACTAGGCTCATCTCCTAATTTTTTTTAAAAAAATATAGTTTTATTGCCCAGCCGGGCGTGGCTCAGCGGTTGAGCATCGACCTAGGATCCAGGAGATCAGGGTTCGATTCCTGGTCAGGGCACATGCCCGGGTTGTGGGCTGCAGCCGATCCATGACTCTCTCATCATTGAGGTTTCTATCCCTCTCTCTCCTTCTCCTTTCCTCTCTCTGAAATCAATAAAGTTATATATTATAGTTTTATTGGTTTCAGAGAGAGGAAGGGAAAGGGAGAGAGGTAAAAACATCCGTGATGAGAGAGTCATGGATCGGCTGCCTCCTGCACACCTCCTGCTAGGAATCGACCCTTGATGTCCTGGATCCTAGGTCAACGCTCAACGACAGAGCCACGCCGACCGGGCAGGCTCACCTCCTTCTCTGCCCCCCTCCCATGCACAGCCCAGGGCTCGGAGCAGGTCAGCTGCCAGCCTCAGCCCTGCCCAGCACACAGATGCCAATGGGCCAAAGGGACCCGCCATCTCAAGAAAGCGAACCCTGAGGCCCAGGGGCCGGGCATCAGCCCTCACAGGGATATCGGCCGAGCAGGGGCACTGAGAGGGGCACGTCAGCCTCGGGCTGCCCATCACTCCATGCTCCACACCAGGGCACAGTGGGATGAGGGCCGGCCCAGGCTCTGCCGCACCCGAGGCACACGGGCGGGAAGCAGCAAGGGCACCCTGTCCCTCACGCCTGGGTGCCACCTCTGCTGAGAGCAACCCCTGGAGGGGCCTCTGGGCCGATCCAGCCGGAACCACTCTCCTCCCTCCCAACCCTTGGCCACCGCCCTGGCCGCCCCCAGGCAGCTCAAGCCCAACCCGGCCAAACCATGATCCTTCCTTACCCTGCTTATGGCCCACTTGGCCCTCTCACCTTCCTCCAGGACATCACCAGCCAAGCTCCCTGCCCCAGCCACACACCCTCTCGCACCAGGGCCAGTGCCCACTGGTCTTCCTCCTCAGTGCCCCTCAACCTGTACACCTGTTTCCATCCCTGCGGCTACCTCTGTCCTGTCTTCCCAGCCCCCATCTGGCCCTGCATGTTTCTCTTCTGCTGAAATTTCCTGGGAGGAACGGTCGGCCTTTCCCATGAGCCGCAGGCCCTGAAAGCCTCTCCAAACCTCCCCCTCCACACTCCTCCCCAGCAGGCCCGCTGCCTCTGCCAGCTCTGGAGGTCCCATGCTCTCTGCCGGGTCTGGGTCCTCTGCCCAGGACCGCCCCCCTCCCTGTGCCCACCTTCCCTCTCCCAGCAAGATGCCCCACCCTCCTCTGGTTCCTTGGACTTGGCACAACCCACCCCCCAATCTGTACCCAAAGCCTGTGCTGCCCGATCCACTCCTGCCCAGGGCCTTGTCACCAGGCACAACTCCTGCCAAGCCCCCTCCCTAGACCTCAAGTAGCATCAGGTTCCCAGGAGCAGGGAGGAGCCCCCCCACCAGAGCCTCCTCCCGCCCCTTCCCACTCCCAGCCCAGGTGCGCAGAGGCTGGGCGCCCCTGGGCCTGGGCCTGGGCCTGGGCCCTGACCAAACCAGGCTGTGTGCAGAGTGCCCACACACCGGGGGAGCCGCGGCTACAAAAGGCTCGTAAAGGGCCTAACGCTCAGACACACGGAGCTTTGGAAAAGGGTCTGTTTGCACTCATTTTAAAACAGAACCAAGATGCGCTTCCCAAATTCATGCCTGCCGCCCTCCTCAGGGGAAGCCCCGCCCAGGGCTCCGCTGACCGGGCGGCCGCCCAAACCCGGGGCTGGGCCTCCCTCCTGCCAGCTCACCCAGCACCACCCCAGCGACCGCTCGGCTGTGAGCGTGAGTGAGTGTGAGCGAGTGTGCAGGGGCTCTCGGGCCGCCCACGGCCACGGTTTCCGGGCAGGGTGTGAGCGGACAGATCCCGGCTGTCACAGATTCCCACGGGGCAGAAGGGGCAGGGGCGGAGAGAAGGCCCGCCACAGACACAGAGGCAGCGCACACAGCGTGCAGCCACACGTGTGCTCACACACACAGGCGTGCACAGGCGTGTGAGTGCACACGCATCCAGGGTACGTGTGCCTGCCCTGCGCCGGAGCTCTGGCACCAGGAGACCTGGGCCGCGTCTCCGCTCACGTTTGCGTCGCGTAACGTCCTCGCTGTGTCAGGCGTGCACGGGCCAGGACACTGCGGTCAGCAAGCGTGGGGCTGCTGCAGAGCGGGGGAGGCACAAGGCCAGGCTGGCCAGCTCCGCCTCCAGGACACAGCCTCCCCCACCTCCTCTGCCTGGGAGTCCAAGCCACGGCCCCTCCTGCCCAGACTGGGCACAGGCCTGCAGGCCGCCCCTGCTCCCTGGCCTCGGCTTCCCCTCCTCAGGCCGCCTCCTCCCTCTCTGCTGAACAGAGGGCCCTCCCCCGCCATGTCCACTCCCCGCAGCCCTGTCCCATCCCCGGTGCCACCTTCTTAGGGCAGGTGTGGGAGAGACTGGGGCCCAGCACAGGCCTGTTGGGTGGGGTGCATCAGGGACCCTTAAGGCTCGAGTAAGGGTGAGAGAAGGTCAGGGTTTGCCCCTAGAGAGCTGGCGGGACGCTCATGCTGGCAGGGACCCCAGTGGGGGCACAGAGAAGGATGGGTCTGGTTTGGCACCAGGCCTGGGCTGCCTCTGAGAAGTCAATGGCAGGAGGCAGGAGGCCAGGACAGGGTGGTGGGAGGTGAGTGGCATTCCCACACTCACGCTACACCTGCGTAACCTCCCCAAGCCTCAGTTTCCCCACAGGATGGAAGACAGCAAGGGACAGCAACATAGGCAGGCCCACGCCAGGGACTGTCCCTGTTGCTCCTCTCCTGCTTAAGGCTCCACTACTGACCATCCAGAAACTAGGGATAGGACCCCAAACTCCTACTGAGCACACTGACCCCCCCAGCCTCTCCCAACATCTGGGAAAAGAAGCAGAGTGAGGGTCTGTGGGAGACAGTAGGGGGGACAGACCCGGGCTGGGGGGCAGGAAGAGCACCCAGGCCCCTAATACCTAAAGGCCCTTAGTACCCGCGGCCCCCACAGGCCCCATCAGGGCTACGGGGAGCCCACTCAATCACACCGTGAGGGGCAGAGGAAAGGGCACCCAGGCTAGGGTGGGCCCTGCAGGATCAGCCCGTTGCCCTGCCCCTCCATCCTGTTCCCAAAGAGTTAGACATGTGAGTCCCATAGAAGCCGAACTCAGATTCTGAAACCTGGGCCAGAAACAAAGTCTTGACTGTCAAGTGTCCAGTGCCTGGCTCACTGTGCCCGCTGTCAGCCTCTCATGCATGAGAAAGCCCTCCTCCCAGGGCACCTCGAAGGGGCACCAGCCACCGTGGACAGGCCCGATGGTTGGAGCTGGCCCTGTGGCTCCCCACCAGACTCACAGCCCAAGTCAGGCCCTCAGACGACAAGGACATGGACAGATCGCCTTTCCAACACCTTCCAGAGGTGGGTCCCCAACATCGTGAGAGTCCAACAGAAACCTGAGCAGCCTTGTGTCAGACCCTCACCCTGGAGCAAGCACTCGGGCCTGCACACGCCCACCCCAGGCCCAGAGCCCACCTGTGGATCCAGGGCCCAGGGAGCTGTGCAGAGGCCTCTTCACCAGGTGTCCCGCAGCAAGTGGGGGCCCCTGCTCGGGGCCCCACCCTCTAGGCCCCAGAGGGGCCCACACTCACCTGCAGCATGAGCTCACACTCATCACGCCCCACAAAGATGAGCTCTCGCGGGAGCCGGTGGCGGGTGCCGCTACTGCTCACCAGGAACCAGGAGGTGACGCTCATCTTGGCGGCAGGCCCTGGGGGTAAAGGGGTTGTCAGAGTGGCTCCCCTGTCCAAGCCCAGGCCCCTGACACCCCGAGGCCCAGCACAGACAGATCCCTCTGAGGTTCAAGCACCTTCCCCACACCACCACTGCAGCACCTCCAAAAATGCTGAGCTCCAGCCACACCAGGCCCCCTGTCCTTCCCTGGGCATGTCTGTTCCCGTGAATCCCCACCCAAGCTGTAGCCCCTTCTCTCTCCTGTAGGTGCAGGAAGGGTGGAGACTGTGGGCATCAGCTGCACAGCCTGTGTGTGGATCCACAGGTGTCCCTGTGACCTGACCAGGAGCAGCTCCCCACAGTCAGGGTCCCCACAATGTCAGGCCCATGCACCAGACCCTCCCCAGAACACAAATTCTGAACCAGAGGCTCCACTTCCCCCAGCCAGACATTCTGGGCAGAGCCCTGGGCACTGGGGCTAGGGGGAGAGCTGGGGACAGGACCCCTGACCCACCAATACTCCCACCACTGAGAAGACCAAATATCCCTCAGTGGTCACGGTGACCATCCTGCAGACACCCCCAGGCCAGGACAGGAGCAGCGGTCAGGGCATGGGGCAGCCTCTCTATTGCCCAGGAGGGAAGTGGTGCTTTGGTGCCCAAGGTCCTGGGGGCGTTGGCGAAGCAGGATCTGAGGGCTGATGTAGTCAGGACAGCAGGGGATGCAGGGTGGTTTGAGGGGCCCAGTGGGGGCAACCTGAGCAATGAAAAGGGCCAATGCCACCTGAGACCAGGCCCTGGAGCAGCGCCGGCCACATGCAGTCACTGCACTCATCCGCCCAGAGCAGGAGCAGAGGGGTACACCAGCACAGGGGCATAGGCACTGACGTGCAGACTCGCCTGTGCCACACTCATGTGCACCTGGAGCACCACCCACAAGCCCACAAGGTCCTGGCCACTCTCCTCTGCACACACACTCACATGGTACATACATGCACACTCACTGCACATACACCACACACATGGCACACACATGGCACACACATGTACACTCACTACACACACTCACAAGGCACACACATGCACACTTGCTACACATATGCACACACTCACATGGCACACACATGTACACTCACTACACACACTCACACGGCACACACATGCACACTTACTA